CTGGGGAAGGTACGGGGCTGCCACTTGCGGCACACCTGCACCAGGGCGGCACCGGGGCTGAATGCTGTTTTAGAATTTTCTTCCTGAGCACAGAGGGGAAACAGGCGTGTCTCAAAGCGGACTCCCCCATGGGTGCAGCTCCAGGTAAACAGTGGAGGGGCTGAAGAGAGGCATGTGGCAGGAAGGAAGGAAGCTGCAAGACAGGGCAGAAGTTTCTTTAACCGGTTGCCATTGAGTCCATTTCAACTCATGGTGACCCCCTGTGTGTCAGAGTAGAACTGTGCTCCATAAGGTTCTCAGTGGCTGATTTTTCAGAAGTAGATTGCCAAGCCTCTGGGTGGCCTGAACCTCTAACCTTTTCTTAGCAGTCTAGGGTGTTAAGCGTTTGCACTAACCCAGGGACTCCAGAAGTTTTTTAATACATGTTTTAAATGGACATTTTGCAGGGATAACCCCCTACCCCACCTGTTTTATAACACAAAGCAAGCACTTTGAATAATTGGTCAAGTCTCTCCTCCCTCCCACCAGGCCAGATCTTCAGACATCTTGATAAGCAGGAGAACTAGGAGGAGGGTGTTCTTGGGCTCCTTCTATATCAAGGTACCGCGGCAGAACTGGGGAGTTTGGAGCGGGCGGTGATACTTCACAGCTGAAATCCTTGTGCTTGGCCAGCTCACCAGGGAGGAAGGCATATTTGTAGGTTAATACTGACAGACTTAAAGGTTGCCCTCCGAGGACCCTCACTGTCTCACAAACAGGCGGAAGAACACAGTGGAAATTGCATGGGTCAAAAGTCTCAGAACATCTGCTTTTCCGCTTGCCCCCTCCGCGGTGGCTCAGCGAATCGGAGCCAGTCACCCCTACCTTCTGGCTTAGAAAGAAGGAACAGAACGCTTCCTCCCCCTTCTCAGGAATGTCTGGAAAGTGTGTACACTGCTTTAAATGCAGATTGCTTCTTAGGGAATGGCCTGCATGCTTCTAATATATTTTATAACCATCTTATTTACCAACAAGAACACGTTAGAGAAAACAATCCTGTGTCAAACCCAGGCGGGCTTCTCCCCTTACTTCTACAGCCAGAGCTGCTGCCGTGGGAGTTACTTTAAACTAAACGGTGACCCACTGTCCAGCATGCAGGGGCCCGTTATCCAGTAGGCAAGGTAACAGAGCATCTGCAGTGAACAATTTCGCATTTGTTCACCACATCAAAGATTCTGCTTTTGCGGATGGCTGGCGTCTGTCTCTCTCCCCACCCCACAGCACCTTCCTACAGAATCAAAGCCTCTTTTCAAATTTACAATCCCTGACAGGGACAGATGACCCAGTGAACAAGGAAAGCACGGGGTTACTTGTGCTTACTTCCTAATCTGTAGTGAACAATTTCACATGGGTTTCACCTCATCTTTGTGGTGAAACCCATGTGAAATTGTTCACTACAGATTAGTAAGGGAAATTGCCCACTTACCTTGCCTACTGGATAATCCTCCCCTACCAGTATGTCCCCCAGCCACCCTGGGTACAACTTCTTGAGATTCTCTTGGCCAACCAGCCCTCTAAGTCTCCTTGAGATCAGAGTTCCAGCTTCTACAACTGTATATGTTTATCTCCTGGCTAATGCCTAGTATAGTATAGAGCTTTAAATAGGCACATAATAAATGATTGGTGTATGAATATAATTGCTAGAATCTTAGAGCTGGAAAAAATAATAATATAAAATAGTAATAGTAATAAATTAGTGGGTGTACCAGGCACCATTCCAAGCACCTTAATCCTTCATTTTATTTTATCCTCACAAAAACCCATTGCCATCGAGTCGATTCTGACTCTTAGCGACCCTATAGGACAGAGTAGAACTGCCCCATAGGGTTTCCAGGGAGCGGCTGGTGGATTCAAATTGCCAACCTTTCAGTTAGCAGCCGTAGCTCTTAACCACTGCGCCACCAGGGTTCTTATAACAACTCTGTAAAGTGCACACTATTATTATTCTCTTACTTGCCCTTGGTCACTAGATAGTAAGTGTAGAGCTAAGACTCGAGTCAAGCTCCTTGTATTATTTTGTTGTTGTTAGCTGTCGTGGAGCCTATGAGTCACCAACTTATGGATGATTTTCAGAAGTAGATTGCCAGGGCCTCTCTTCCTAGTCTTAGTCTGGAAGCTCCACTGAAATGTGTTCAGCTTCATAGCAACATGCAAGCCTCCACTGATAGACTGGGCAGTGGCTGTGCATGAGGTGCACTGGCTGGGACTCGAACCTGAGTCTTCTGCATGGAAGGCAAGACTTTTACCACTAAACCACCAAAGCCCTCATCCTGGTATTACACACGCCTTGTATTATAGACATGGAACCTGAGGCCAGGGAAGCAGCTTTCCAGGGTCTCCCAGTTAGCAGCACGGCTGACAGATCTGGCCCCTGCCCTAACTTCACAACACTGGCGCCTTCATGACACCTCGCCACGTTTTGAGGAGCTCGCCAGTCTTTATCCAAATTCCAGGTTGGTCCCCCAAAAAAAGCCCCTGATAGCAGCTCTGGGTCTGTGAGTGACCTGGGGATTTTTGGTTCAGTTACCCAAGTAGGACCCACCACGCCAGGGACTGAGTGGGGGTAACTTATTTTTTGCTGCCCTCACCCCAGCCCAGTGATGACTCACTCCCACCGGGGCCTCTGTGGAGGTTGAGCAGGCTAAGGCTGGAACCAGCTCCCTCAGGGCATGTGTCCAGTTCCTGCCCATACCCTGGTGGGCCTTATTGATGTGGTCAGTCCCATTCTTGACCACAAAACCAGTGACAGTAGCCCTAACATGCCTCCAGCCAATCAGCACAATGCTAACCCCACAAAACACAGGGCAGTGCCAGGAGGGGCATTAGGTATGCTCTGTGGCTTAAATGGTAGTTTCTTCTTTGTCTTCCCCTTTTTCTTTCCCCGAAGTGTATGGGGGGGGGGGGGCTGGAGGGTAGGAGGAAGATTAAGAAGTTCTCAAAACCAAGAGGTAAATTGCACTCAAAAGAAGCCAAAAGGTCCTGATACCTGCTACAACATGGATGAACCCTGAAAACATTATGCTGAGTGAAATAAGTCAGACACAAAAGGACAAAGATTGCATGACCTCACTTATATGAAATAGGCAAGTGCATAGAGACCAAAGTTTATTCCTGGTTACCAGGGGCTGGAGCAAGGGGGAGAGGGGGTCATTGCTTACGGGGCACTGAGTTTCTGTTAATGATGGTGGAATAACTTGGAAACGGATAGTGGTGATGGTTGCACAACATGACGACCGTGACTAATGTCACTGAATTGTCTGTGTAAAAATTGTTGAATTGGCAAATGTTATATATATTTTTGTCACAATAAAAAATAATTTAAAAAAAAGAAGAAGAAGCCAAAGGAGAAGGCTCTGGGCAGGAGAGGGATGTCAGCAGCTGTGAGAAGGGGACGCTCAGAGCCTTGTCAGCCTGGCCTGGCCTTCCATGAGAAGTGCTTTGAATCAGCCTGTCACCTCAGCTCTGGAGACTCAGGAGGAAGACAGGGGCCTCTGCTTGGAGCTCGCTGGAGAGAATGATGGGCACTATTTGAGAGTGACAAGACAGGCTGTCAGAAGGTGGGGGCTGTGTGCAGTCAACAAGGAAGGGGCTCAGGATTACTGTGATGCATCCCTCAAGGGGCACCATGCACACTGAATTCTATGAGATACTGGGGCGCAGGCCGATGAGAAACAAGTTGTTGTTAGGTACCGTCGAGTCGGTTCCCACTCAGTGATCCTATGTACCACAGAACGAAACACTGCCTGGTTCCGCCATTCTCACTATCATTGTTATGCTTGAGCCCATTATTGCAGCCACTGTGTCAGTCCATCTCACTGAGGATCTTCCTCTTTTTCGATGACTCTCTTAAGTCAATTACGATGTCCTTTTCCAGGGACTGATCCCTTCTGATAACATGTCCAAAGTATGTGGGATGTAGTCTCGCCATCCTTGCTTCTAAGGAGCATTCTGGCTATACTTCTTCCAAGACAGATTTGTTTGTTCTTTTAGCAGTCAATGGTATAGTCAGTATTTTTCTCCAACACCATAATTCAAAGGTGTCAATTCTTCTTTGGCCTTCCGTATTCTTTGTTTAGCTTTCACATGCATATGGGGCGATTGAAAACACCACGGCTTGGGTGACGTGCACCTTAGTCTTCAAGGTGACGTAAAATAGAGAAACTGAGGAAGAGGAATTGACGGATCCCTCTGAGCGTATAGCAACATTCACAAAAGCCAGTGACTAGTGTGAAATGCACCCAAGAACAGATAAAAAGAAACAATGTGGAGACATAGTGACCATAAAGCAGATTCCCCTTTGTCACAAAGACATCTGTTAATCACTAACTAGCTCAGGGTTTATCTTGTGCAAAGAATTTAACTTTAGGGAATTTCCCTTGCTTCTTGAGGGATACCAAAACCAGACCTGTTGCCACAGAGTCAATTCTGACTCATAGCGACCCTATAGGACAGAATAGAACTGCCCCATAGAGTTTCCAAGGAGCGGCTGGTGGATTCAAACTGCCAACATTTTGGTTGGCAGCTGAGCTCTAGCCTTTGGAATTCCCTACCTTTATTATTTTAAAACCTTGGAACCACACCTGAAGATTTGAATGGGGTCACAGAGACCACTTAGTGACGTAATGGCAGCTGATCTCAGAAAGGGGGTCATGATTCGATCAATCATGTTGAGACTAGCCAAGAGTTAATTTTCTACCATTTCCTTACCTTCTCCTTAAAAGCCTCATTGTAACTAGCCTGCTGTTGAGCCATTTGGTTTTTTTTTAGAAACAAATGGTCTCCCTGTATGCACACAGAATAACTGCTCAATAAACCCTACATACTTTATTTGTGCTTTGATTTTTTTTTTTTTTTGGCAAGGTCAAAAACACTGGAAAGGCTTATGTCCCCTTGGGATAGATGGGAAAAGGAGAAGCAAGCCCTGTACCTGGACTCATTTATTTTCTTCCTCTGTCCTGCAGATACGACTCAGCTATTAAAGATCTGAAAGAGGCCTTGACGAAGCTTCGAGGGAACCAGCTGATAGACTATAAAATCCTGGGGCTGCAGTTCAAGCTGTTTGCCTGTGAAGTAAGGAGGGCCAATGGGGAGAGGGGGGATGGCACGGTGGCTGATGGCAGAGGCCTAACTGGGGAGGTAGGGGATGTGCACAGGTAGGGCGCCATGCCTGGGCAGGCATAGTGTAAGCGCCCGGGTCGCCGCTTGAGGCGAGACACCAGTTAGCAGTTTCTGTTGGCCATCACAGTTCTCACTGCCAGCTGTGAGAGATCATTCAGCAATATGGCACTAATTGCCATAGGCACTATTTTCCATAGTTAGGCCCCTGGCTGACCGTCAGGTGCAGGCTATCTATCGACACCACTAGAAGCTTGGAAAAGTCATTCACTTCCTGGGCCTTGGCGTGCAGGTTTTCCCTGAAGAGGCTCACTGTGGGGTCGTCGGTTACCTGAGGGCATGCATTCAGGAACAAGAGGCTCCAAGGACTGAGTATAAATGAGAATGAAGCTTCTCCGAGGGGAGGTTGAACACCCCTGTGTTGGCCTGCAAAACTATTCATCATAATTTGCACGTTTTGTTTAGCCATTCAGCTGACTTATTTACTCAGCATTACACTAAACAAACCCAAACCAAACTCATTGTCATCGAGTTGATTTCAACTCATAGTGACCCTATAGGACAGAATAGAACTGCCCCCATAGGGTTTCCAAGGAGTGCCTGGTGGATTCAAACTGCCAACCTTTTGGTTAGCAGCTGTAGGTCTTAACCACTACGCCACCAGGGTTTCCAGCATTATACTAACAAACCCCAGATTATGTGTTCACTCTCTATCCATGAGGAGCTCTGGTGGCTCAATGGTTAAGTGCTAGGCTGCTAACCGAAAGGTCGGCAGTTTTAACCCACCAGCTGCTCTACGGGAGAAAGATGTGGCTGTCTGCTACCTAAAGATTACAGCCTCGGAAACCATATGAGGCAGTTCTACTCAGTCCTATAGGGTGTCTATGAGTCAGACTTCATTCGATTCAACGGCAACCGGTTAAGAGGATCCATCCAGGAGGAATTCCTGGGTGGTGCAAAATGGCTGAGTACTTGGCTACTAACTGAAAGGCTGGCAGTACTACAAACCCACCCAGAGGCACCTTGGAAGAAAGTCCTGGCAATCTACTTCCAAAAGATCACAGCCAGTGAAAACCCTCTGGAGCACAGTTCTACGCTGACACACATGGGGTCACCATGAGTCTGAATCGACTCCAGGGCAACTGGTTTTGGTGTATTTGTGTAGGCCGACCATAGTCTTGCTCAGGTCTCAAGTTACAGACCACATTTTTTGCAATGAATGGTTTTCACCCCATGCGCTTGGTTGTGACCCAGAGAGTAAGGATCATTTGGCCCAAACCTGTCCCCTCGTGCTCAAAGAACAACTGAAAACAGAAATTGAGGTAGTTTTGATAGCAGAACACTTATTTTCTGTATTACCAAAAGGGAGAAACATGACTGACATGTACTTTTCTCAACCAACCCTTCCCACTGCCCCCTTCCCATAAATATACATGAGTAGCTTTAGAAACTAAAATCCCTGTAAATATGGCAGAATTTTATTTAGAAGAATCTCTGAAAAAGGCTCCTTGCCTTAGTTTCTCAGGCACGAGAAGCCAAGTGTTCCCAGGGTAGCTCAGGACTAATAAGAGTCTGCAGCTGCCTGGGCCCTTAGGGACACATATCCTCATCTCAGCCCTGCAGCAGGCTGAGCAAATGACTTCACTTCTCGAAGTCCAGGGAAATGAGGCTTTGCAGTGGCAGTTGGCCGACACTTGGCCAACTTCTAGAGTAGGGCTTCTTTACCGTGGCACTATTGACATGCTAAATACCAAAAACCAAACCCACATTGAGTCGATTCCAACTCATAGAGCCTCCATAGGGTTTCCAAGGCTGTAAACCATAAAGGAAGCAGACTGCCACATCTTTCTCCTGTGGAGCCACTGGTGGTTTCAAACTGCCAACCTTTTGGCTAGCAGTCAAGCGCTTTAACCACTGTGCCACCAGGGCTCCTTATTGACACTCTGGACCAGGTAGTTTTTGTTGTAGGGGCCTGTCTTGTGCACTGTAGGATGTTTGGCAGCATGCCTGGCCTCTACTCACTAGATGTCCCCAGTGGAATAACTTAAAACATCTCCACGTATTGCCAATTGCCCCAGACTGAGAACCACTATATAGATTACAGGGTTGGGAGACCAGGTGGCTCTAGAGAAAGGATCATGTGACAGAGGCATGTGATAGAGAACATTCTACGAGAGGAATGTTCCTCCTTAACGGGATTGAAGTGAACTGTGGGGCAGGAAGTACGGGCTGTATGGGCCTCTTTGGAAGTAAGGCTATATTTTTCAGGATCTTTAAGGAGCCTAGTGGTGCTCCTAAAAAAAAAAAAAAAAAATTGGTGGTTCGAACCTACCCAGTGGCTCTGTAGGAGAAAGACCTGGTGATCTGCTTCTGTAAAGATTACAGCTAAGAAAACCCTATGGTGCAGTTCTACTCTGTCACATGGTGTCGCTATGAGTCAGAATCGACTCGATGGCACCCAACAACAACAAAGGCCCTCTTTAGCACACGAGACCCTCTAGTCATTTCCCTACTTATAGTCCCGCCCCCTGCCCCCTGCCCTTCCTCCTTGGTATAACTCTAGATTCTGAGAAATCACACCATCCTTTTTGAAAAGAGTCTTAGACTTTTCTAGTCATTAAGTCGTAAAAACCTGTTGTGGGAAAAGATCTGAAAAGAAGGTGGCTGAGAACCAAACAGGAAGTTCTAAATGGCCTTGAGTTTCTGCACACACAGTTGGGGTGGGCTGCTGAGGATAAGTGTGTACGCAGTAGGCAGCAGCTCATTGGAGGCTCAGAATCAGTCCTGGAAGTGAGTCTAGATCTCCACTTCTGTGGCTTGCTCCCAGTATCCACTGTGCCCCTTAAAAAAAAACAAACCCATTGCCGTCGAGTTGATTCCAACTCATGGCAACCCTACAGCACAGAGTAGAACTTCCCCATGGCGTTTCCAAGGAGCGCCGGGTGGATTTGAATTGCTGACCTTTTGGTTAGCAGCTATAGCTCTTAACCTGTAAACCACCAGGGTTTCCACTGTGCTCCTAGCCCTTCCAAACTGGATTCCAGTACCATCCACTAACTCCACGGAACTATCAATCCTGCTACGCATCCATACTTGCCTGATAAACTGTTTTTTTTTTAATCTGAATGTGAGCCTGAACCAAATCATGATGTAGGTGGCAAACTGATAGAGAGGAAAAGTGTATTAGTTATCTATTGCTGAATAACAAATTACCCCAAGCTACTACCTTGTAGCTTTAAATAATAAATATCTCAGAGTTTCTATGAGTTAGAAATCCGTGAGTGGCTTAGTGGGTGGTGCTGGCCACACATCTACATTTAGTTCCTGACACTGCCTCTGCCTCTTCAAGGGGTCTTGAGCAAGTCACTCTTCTCCATACTAACCCATTGAAAAAACTCATGGCCATGGAGTCCATTCCGACACATAGAAACCCTATAAGACAGAATAGAACTGCCCCATAGGGTTTGTAAGGAGCAGTTGGTGGATTTGAACTGCAAGCCTTTTGGTTAACAGCCAAACACTTAACCACTGAGCCACCGGGGCCCCACCTTCTCCATACTAAAACAACATAGTCAATCTTGTCCTCTCCTGATTTACATGGTTGTTGAAAGAATGCATACATTGTTCGATTTATGCATTGCACGGTGTTTTCTTAGCACCACGCTTGATGTAACTCCATGGTAAGAGCAATTGTACTACATTTTAGATATTCCCAGAAGAGCTGGGAAAGGGAAAACTATCACCAGACAATATTCCAGGAGTATACGTGAAAGTACACCTGGTACCTAGATTTGAAGCAATCCCAAGCCTTACGTTGTGGCCTGTGGTTTTTCTAGGTGTTATATAATATTGCTTTCATGTACGCCAAAAAGGAGGAATGGAAAAAGGCTGAAGAACATTTAGCATTGGCTATGAGCATGAAGTCAGAGCCCCGACATTCCAAAATCGACAAAGCCATGGAATGTGTCTGGGTAAGTACACTGGTAATATGAGGAAGTGAGAAGATGTCTTCAGATTTGTATTTGTTTGATGTACATGTGGCTGGAGAAACTACAACATTGGTGCTTTTTAACATGTTATAAAATATATATAACATGAAGTTTGCCGTTTTAATCATTTTTAAGTATATAATTTATAATTTGGTGGAATTAATTATATTCACAATGTTGTACAACCATCACCACTACCTACCCACAACATTGGTGCTTTTAATTTCTATGAGTTTGAGGTAGCCCTGATCTTGGAGTATACTTCCATGAAGATCTTTACTGTGAAGTGCTGAGAAGCCGAGGCCTAGGGTGCAGTACAGCCGAGCCCTGGCATCACAATGCTCTTGGAATAGGTCTCCATAGCAGCCTGGAGAGAGAGGATGTTGGAGGCTGGAGTGGCACTGAGAAGCCTCTAAGCATCATAAGGCTCTGCTTGCTACCTTTGAATCTTCACAGCCTCAAACACAGGCATATACGGGCTCTCAACAAAAATGTACTGATTATATGAATAAATAATAAAAATTACCCCTGGTTTGCCTGAATATGTTTGGGAATAAAGTTAGATTTTAACCAGGTTTTTCAAACACCAGGAACAAGAGGGTCACGTCATCTTTCTGTGCCTGTCCAAGTCAGCAAACCCTAGTCCCAAGGGAGCACTGTCATGGGCTTTGCTTGGGTCCTGGCCCACCCTTGTGGCCGTGGTGCCTCTTATGCTGAGGGACAGCCCTGCCTGAGACACACTGAAAGGGAAAGGGGCAATTCCCAAGGAAAAGTGGGTGCCCGGCAAATAACACCCACAGATGTCCACACAGCCTCTGAACATAAAGTGATATTAAAGCCAATTATTCCTACCTTAAAGGCCCTAGAACAATAGGAACAAAATCAGTCTTTATAAAACATTATGCTAAGTGCAATGAGCCAGACACGATAGGACAGCTATTGTACGATTCCACTTATGTGAGGTATCTAGAACAGGAAAATCCAGAAGGACAGAAAGTCGATTAGAGATTACAGGGACTGGGAGGAGGGGGAGATGGGGAGTTATGACTTAATAGACACAGAGTGTCAGTTTGGGATGATGAAAAGGTCTGGAAATAGTGGTGACAGTTACACACACTGTGAATGTACTTAATGTCACTGAATTGTACACTTAAAAGTCGTTAAAATGGTAAATGTTATGTATTTTACCACACACAAAAAAAAAGAATTAAAAAAAGTTTTTTAAGAGTACTTGGGTGAGTACCAAAAGCAGTTGTAAATAGCATTAAATCTAAATAATTCTTCGAAATCCAGTTGCAAACTGAATGATAATATAAAAACATTTCTTGGAAGATGAAATAGAGACTGTTAAAATAATAATTTAAATACAGCAGTATTAATCTATATTCTCAGGTGATATCAAGTAAAAAGTGAAAAATAAAAAAAAAATCAATCTTTACGAATTTAGAAAAAGTGATTTTGTGAGATTATCTCATTTGATCCTTGAAGATCCTTTGAGCCTCCATTCAGTGAGAGAGGCAAAACAAGTCTCATTGCCCCATTTTACAGATGAGGAGATACTATGTTTTCTGTGTTACAGAAGCAGAAGCTGTATGAGCCAGTGGTGATCCCCATGGGCAGGCTGTTTCGACCAAATGAGAGACAAGTGGCTCAGCTGGCCAAGAAGGATTACCTGGGCAAGGCTACGGTAGGTGAGAGCGCTGAGTCTCCTGTGGGTGAGCCATGCAGACAAGGTGGGAGGGACTCTTGGGAAGAAGTCACCCCCTTGTGGTTCTGCTCCTGGGATGGTAGACAGAGACTTGTTTACAGAGTAGAGGTCTTACTGAAAGAAGAGCGGACACTTCTGGTTTATTTTCTCCCAGCTCCTCTCATTCCTCCCTTCCAGCCTGATCCTGGGCAAGAGCTAGAGGGTTACTCCCAAGATGCTGAGTCTTGAGGACTGTTGTTGTTGTCAGGTGCTTTCGAGTAGGTTTCGACTCATGGAGACCCTCTGTACAACAGAACAAAACCCTGCCTGGTCCTGCACCTTCCTCACAATAGTTGCTGTGTTTGAGCCCATTGTTGCAGCCACTGTGTCAATCCATCTTGTTGAGGGTCTTCCTCTTTTTCACTGACAGTCTACTTTACTAAGCACGATGTCCTCCGTCAGATACTGGTCCCTCTTGATAACATGTCCAAAGTCTGTGAAATGAAGTGTCAACATCCTCGCTTCTAAGGAGCACTCTGGCTGTACTTTTTCCAAGACAGATTTGTTCGTTCTTCTGATAGTCCATAGTATATTCAATATTCTTTGTCAACATCATAATTCAAAGGCATCAATTCTTCTTTGGTCTTCCTTATTCATTGTCCAGCTTTCCCATGCTTATGAGGCCATTAAAAACACCATGGCTTGATTCAGGCACACCTTAGTCCTCAAAGGGATATCTTTGCTTTTCAATACTTTAGGGACCAATTAATGCATTTTAGATGGCTGCTCACAAGCTTTTAAGACCTCAGATGCCGCTCACAAAGTGGGATGCAGAACATTTTCTTAATAAACTTTGTTATGCCAGTTGACCTAGATGTCCCCCAAGACCATTGTCCCCAGACCCCAGCCCAAGCTACTCTGCCCCTCAAAGTGGTTGTGTTCAGGAAACTTCTTAGTGTTTGCTTTAGTCCAGTTGTGCTGACTTCCCCTGTATTGTGTGTTGTCCTTCTCCTCTTCACTTTCAGCAAGCAAGGTTTTGTCATCTGCATATCACAGGTTGTTAGTGAATTTTCCTTCAATCCTGATGCTGCATTCTTCTTCATATAGTCCAGCTTCTCAGATTATTTGCTCAGCATACAGATTGAATAAGTATGGTGAAAGGCTATAAACTTTTCCTGATTTTAAACCATGCAGTATCCCCTTGTTCTGTTTCAACGACTGACTCTTGGTCTATGTAAAGTTCCTCATGAGCACAGTTAAGTGTTCTGGAATTCCCATTCTTCACAATGTTATCCATAATTTGTTATGATCCACACAGTTGAATGCCTTTGTATAGTCAATAAAACACAGGTAAACATCTTTCTGGTATTCTCTGGTTTCAGCCAGGATCCATCTGACATCAGCAATTCTATCCCTTGTTCCATGTCCTCTTCTGAATCTGGCTTGAATTTCTGGCAGTTCCTTATCGATGTACTGTTTCAACCACTTTTGAATTATCGTCAGCAAAATTTTACTTGCGTGTGATATTAATGATATTGTTCAATAATTTCCACATTCTGTTGGATCATCTTTGTTTGGAATGGGCACAAATATGGATCTCTTCCAATCAGTTGGCCAGGTAGCTGTCTTCCAAATTCCTTGGCATATACAAGTGAGCACCTCCAGTGCTGCATCCGTTTGTTGAAACATCTCACTTGGTAATCCGTCAATTCCTGGAGGCTTGTTTTTCACCATTCCCTTCAGTGCAGCTTGGACTTTTTCCTTCAGTACCACCAGTTCTTGATCATATGCTACCTCCTGAAATGGTTGAATGTTGACCAATTCTTTTTGGTACAGTGACTCTGTGTATCCCTTCCGTCTGCTTTTGATGTTTCCTGCGTCGTTCAATATTCTGCCTATAGACTCCTTCAAAATTGCAACTCAAGGCTTGAATTTTTTCTTCAGTTTTTTCAGCTTGAGCAATGCTGAGCGTGTTCTTCCCTTTTGGTTTTCTAACTCCAGATCTTTGCACATTTCATTATAATACTTCACTTTGTCTTCTCGATTTGCCCTTTGAAATCTTCTGTTCAGCTCTTTTACTTCATCATTTCTTCCATTTTCTTTAGCTGCTCTGTGTTCAAGAGTAAGTTTCAGAGTCTCTTCTGACATCCATTTTGGTCTTTTCTTTCTTTCCTGTCTTTTTAATGACCTCTTGCTTTCTTCATGTACGATGTCCATGATGTCATCCTACCACTCGTCTGGTCTTTGGTCATTAATGTTCAATGTGTCAAATCTATTCTTGAGATGGTCTCTAAATTCAGGTGGGATATACTCAAGGTCATACTTTGACTCTCATAGACTTGTTTTAATTTTCTTCAGCTTTAACTTGAACTTACATATGAACAATTGATGGTCTGTTCCACAGTCAGCCCCTGGCCTTGTTCTGAATGATGATATTAAGCTTCTCCATCATCTCTTTCCACAGATGTAGTCAGTCTGATTCCTGTGTATCCTATCTGGAAAAGTCCACGTGTATAGTAGCTGTTTATGTTGTTGAAAAAAGGTATTTGCAATGAAGAAGTTGTTGTCTTTCAAAATTCTGTCATGATATCTCAGGCATTGTTTCTATTACCAAGGCCAGATCTTCCAACTACTGATCCTTCTTCTTTGTTTCCAACTTTCATATTCCAATCTCCAGTAATTATCAATACATCTTGATTGCATGTTTGATTAATTTCAGACCGCAGAAGTTGGTAAGAATCTTCAATTCTTTCATCTTTGGTATTACTGGTTGGTGTGTAAGTTTGAAAAATAATGGTGTTAACTGGTCTTCCTTGTAGGCATATGGATATTATCCTATCACTGACAAAGTTGTATTTGAAATGTTCTTGAAATCTTGAAATATTCTTTTCGACAATGAATGCAATGCCATTCCTCTTCAATTTGTCATTCCCTGCAAAGTAGACCATATGATTGTCTGATTCAAAATGTCAAGACCAGTCCATCTCAGCTCACTAATACCTAGGATATCGATGTTTACGTGTTCCATTTCATTTTTTGACGACTTTCAATTTTCCTATAGTCGTACTTTGTACATTCCATGTTCTGATTATTAATGGATGTTTGCAGCTGTTTCTTCTAATTTTGTGTCCTGCTATGTCAGCAAATGAAGGTACCCAAAACTTGACTCCATCCACATTATTAAGCTTGACTCTACTTTGAGGAGGCAGCTCTTCCCCAGCCATATTTTGTGTGCCTTCCAACCTGAGGGGCTCATCTTCCAGCACTATATCAGACAAAGTTCTGCTGCTATTCATAAGGTTTTCACTGGCCAATTTTTTCAAGTAGACTGCCACGTCCTTCTTCCTAGTCTGTCTTAGTTTGGAAGCTCAGCTGAAACCTGTCCACTACGGGTGACCCTGATGGTATTTGAAATACCGGTGGCATAGCTTCCAATACCACAGCAACATGCATCTGACAAACTGACAGATGTGTGGGGCTAGGGGGGAAGACTGAGCCAATGGAAAAGAAAACATAGCTATGAAGAGTTCACTAAATGTGGAGAAGACATGTCAGGGAAAAGGGCCAGCAGGGGATCCTCTTGGCTTAACGCTCCTTGCAGTTTACTTCTCGGTGTTCTGAGGAGTCTCTCCCTACTTCTACAGTCTTATGATTAAACTGCTTTAACTGGACTCCTTCTGAAACCAGGTCTTAAATCCTTTCAAAAGTGGTCCAAAGTGAGTCAGCAGCCAGGAATATCCCTTCTAAAACTGCACTTGACTGGGACACATTTGAAGAGCTGGTGTTGCCTGCTGGCTGTGTAGCGTTTCAGTCACAGTAGCAGAGGCCAGGAGAACCTGGGTTAGTAGGGAGTGGGGGCAGGTACTTGTTTCTTCAGTTGCTGGAACTTCTAACCCCTAGGGTTAATAATCCAGTCCTTCGCCACTATCCACTTCTGGAATGCAATTCAAGTGAGAATGGACAGGGTATGAGAAAGGAGAGAATCTTCGGGAAAACCACAGAAACAGAGGAGCCCTTACACTCTCTTTTCTCAATTTCAGGTGGTGGCATCTGTGGTGGATCAAGACAGTTTCTCTGGGTTTGCCCCTCTGCAACCACAGGTGAGATAGCCCTGTCCTTCTCCTTGGATCTCGGTCTCCAGAGCTCTCCATGAATATTTGTGCTGAGCTGCCTTATTTTAAAGGCTCCTCTAACTGATCCTTGAATGCTTCTGAGGGTGTCTCCCTGCCTGTTCTCAGTGCCAGGCTCCATGGCTGTCAGGGGAATAAGGCAGGTTCAGGCTTAACCTCAAGTGCTCTGAAACCAACCCTCCTGCTCCCCCAAAAATACCAGTCTTCACTTCTCTATGTTCTAAGAGAAAGTCTGTTTATTATCTCTCCTGAAGTCTTGACCATTCTCTCAGAAAATTGAAATGCAAGCTATCAAAGTCTTTTCATGAAGCTTCTTCTTGGCCACGGGCTAGTAGGGGCATCCTGTGGGGCATGAGACCATGGGGTCTCCTCACTCCCCCCATCTGCGTGTGTTGCAGGGGACTCCCTCAGGAACACAGGCTGGGCTCCCAGAATGAACAATTTTCCTCCCCAACTGGGCTCAGAGAGACGGTCCCAGATGGACTGGATGACAATGGGTCTAGAAATATGAAGGCAGAGCTTCCTTGAGAAGGGAAGAGAGTAAAGCAGGCTGAGGAAAATATAAGCTCTGTTGCAACAGATCCATGATAGGCAAGACTGTTGTTGGTCAGCGCTAACAGAGGGAGGGTTTTCCGGCCACAGACACCTACACACCATGTCTGCACTCATGCTGTTCACACCCAGAGTGATAGCCCGCCAGGGTCAGGATGATGACTGCTGACCCAGGATACCACCAACCCCGGGGACCTGGAGGGTGGGAAGAGCCAAGAGGGATAGGAGAGCCAGCATCAAGATTCCTTGGTCTCTTTCTTTACAATAAGTTTGAAGAAAGCCTTGCGGAGATTACTTGGGCTTTGGTTCAACTGGAAGACTACAAGAGGGGAAACCAGTCCAGATAACTGGACTTTATGATACTCAGTGTAGGATAGGAAACATCCATTGGAAAGGAGATCCATGCCTGGTCAGTGAATCCAGAGTTCGTTTTAAATACCCAGAAGTATGTTGCGACATAGCACACATTAATTATAGAACAGAGCTTTTAGAAACTGTCCTAGCAAAGGGACAAAGCTCAAGGTCAGCGGCACTCCTGTGGTACTGTTTGCTCTCTGACTGCTAAACTTCTCCAGAAACCAGGTCTGGCTCAAGATTAATTGCTGTGCTGGTGAAACCTGTGCCCAGGGAGCTGGGGGGAGGTGTTGTTTTCCAGTGTTCAGTCGGGGCACCCTGTGCCCTCTCCCTAGACAGTGTTCTGATCCAGCCAGAAATGCATTCTTTGATTTTCTGGTCTGGAAGAATGCTCACATTACCATTAACAGTCTGTTCTCTGTCTCCCTGCCTCCCTCACTGCCGTTCCCTTCTTCATTTCTCCGGAATGTTCAATAGGCAGCTGAGCCTCCACCCAGACCCAAAACCCCAGAGATCTTCAGGTAAGTTAGAGCCAATATGCAGAATATCCCAGTTCCAAGTCTGAATTGTTGGCAGTAACGGGAGTGAAGAAGATGCAGCCAAGGTCAGGGTCTAAATCCTGTGGGATTTTCCTGGATGTAAGGCTCCTTCTGTTAGCAAGGTTAGAATGATATAGTAGGGATAGGTATCTTTTTTTTTTTTTAACTTGTATTAATTTTTTTATTGTTGTGAAAATATATATAACACAACATCTGCCAGCTCAACATTTTTCAGGTATACCACTTAGTGATAATAATTACATCAATCATGCTGTACAACCACCACCATAAACAGAAAGTCACTTCTTCCTAAACAATGTAGGAATGGGAGACTTGACTATGGTGGGACTGACTCCTGGGACCCGCCTACACCCACACGGTGTCCTTGTGTGTGTCAACGGATGTCAACGTGCACAGTCACCCATGTAGTGAGGGATTTTTGCTGAAATGTAGCAATGTTCCATGGAAGACAGTCACCCAGGGCTGGGATGCTGATCTGAGGATCAGAGGTCAGTTCTCTGAAGAGGGGGCAGCCAGTGCTCTCTAGGCAAGAGGGCAGAGAGTGGGAAGCTAGAATGGCGTTCCCTTTCCAGTGTGGGTGGTTTTCACTCCCTGTTGGCACATGTTTTTTGAAGAAGAGGAAAGACTCAAGAAAAATAAGTCATTCTTCTGTAAGATGAAAAGCAAATAGTGACAGCTTTAAGAACTTCCTCTAAGTAAGGAAGCACGCCTATACTCCTTATCCAATAATGGAGGTTAAAAATGTGAAAAAGAAAATGCCAAAACACTTCACTACTTATAGTCCCAAGCATCTACAAAAAACGAGGAGACTGGATGAGCTCATTCCTACGCGCCTGTCAGCTGGAGGAGTCTGTAGTTCCTGCTTAAATAGACGCTATGTTTGGAAACAAAAGGAAGGGCTGAGGGGAAAGTAACAAAGTTGGGAGAGAGGTGCAGCAAGTCTAGGGTGGATGGAGGGGGCATGAAACCCAAATACACTGGGCAGCCTTGAAGCCGGCCTCTCAGTAACACATTCCCAAGTGGCACAAATGGACACCCCAGAGCTTTGAAGACTAAAGTAGGCTTTGAGGAACTGACAAAGGAAAAATACACTGCATATCACACAGCAAGCCACCCTCAGAATCCTCCTCACACGTCTCTCTCGCTCTCCATCCCTTTCACCCTACCCTGGCCCCATCCGATGCTGGCTTTAGATCATTTCACTCCTCTCCCACTTGAAATCCTTGGGTGGTGCAAACAGTGTTGTTAACAGAAAGGTTGGAGATTCAAGTCTACCCAGAGGCACTTTAGAAGAAAGGGCTAGCGATCTACTGAAAAATTAGCTACTGAAAACTCTGTGGAGCACAGTTCTACTCTGACACACGTGGGGACACCAGGATTTGGGGTCGACTCGATGACAACCAGTTTTTGTTGCTTTTTGGTTCTACCACTTATCTCTCCAGTTGGCCCTCAGGTCTGACTTCCACCTTGTGCTGTTCTCCTGGCCAACTCTCACCTGATCCAGCCCAGCTCGGAGAGCTGACCAAGCACACCCGGAACCTTCCTTCTCAGAAGGGAAGGGAGGGCAAGGATTGCAAAGCTCTGTTATGTAGAATTGTGTTTGTGTTGTTTCTTTTGTTCTTGTCCCACTGTGAATATGATTGTGGAGCACGTTCAAATGCAGTGTCTTACCTCATCCCCCCAGAGCCTGGGGCAGGCAGGCACCCTGCTCAGGGTCACATAGGCAGTTAGATGGCAGAGGGAGCCTGGAGCTGAGTCTCCTGGCCCCAAGTCCATAGTGCCTGTTCCATAGCATCATGTGAGGGGATATGGTCAAGGCTAAGCGCAGGATCCCGTGTCTGATCCCCTGCAGGGCTCTGGAAGGGGAGGCTCACCGTGTGCGGTTTCAGTTTGTACCTGAGACACCAGAGGAGCTCCAGGTCATGCCAGGGAACATCGTCTTTGTCTTGAAGAAGGGGAATGATAACTGGGCCACGGTCATGTTCAACGGGCAGGTATGCAGTGGGTCAGCGGCTGGTGCTATAGGCATAGGGCCCTGGCAGCCAGAGGCAGACCCCTCGGAGGAACAGTATCTGCCACCTGGTTTGCAGAGCAGCTGAGTCTTGCTTTTGTTTTTTACCCCCACTGCTCCTGGTGACCTGGGGCTGCCCGTGGTATAAGTTATTTTTCCCTAATTCTATGATTTGCATTGCAGAAGGGGCTTGTTCCCTGCAACTACCTTGAACCCATTGAGCTGCGGATCCATCCTCAGCAGCAGCCCCAGGTAATGTAGTGTCAAGGCCTGGTCCATTTCCCCCCATTGACAGACCTCTCCCTGGGGGCAGAAGAGCAGTGTGGAAGAGGCACTGTCACCAGCACTGAATAAGGACTCACTCACCCTGGGCCCACCTCAAGCTGGCTGCCCAGAGCTGAGGAATGAGGGCAAAAACCCAGATGTGCTGAGTGGAGGCATCTGCAGGACCCTCCTGGTCAGGGGTGACCTGGACCCAAAGCCTACAGCATAGGGGGCTAGGTCTTCCCAGATGAGTGCTCCTCACCTGGGAGAAGAGCAGTCAGTGTGTTGGCAGGTGTAATGCCACTGCAAAAAAGAAAAAAAGAGATCTGCTTTAGTGCATTCAATCAGAGTGGGCCTTGGCAAGCACTGCTTCTGAAGCTGCTATGCCCCTTCCCTCCCCGTCAGAGGTCTGCCCTTCTGCCAGGCCTGGTATGTGGTCTTTGTGGGGACCTGAGCAGCCATGTAAACTGTCTTATGGCAGTGGAGTCTGTTTCCCTCTAGAATGTACAATGAATTGTACTCTAATATGTGGGGTTGGCCCTCCCTGGTCAGAGTCACGATATCTGGATGCCTTGGAGAGTTTAAAAAGCCACACAGTTGGGAGGTGGAATTATTCCTTTGAAGGGGAAAGAGATGTGCCCTCCGCTGCTATGACAAGAGCTCAATGCCCTACCCCATTCTCCAGCAGATTTCCAATATGGCTGAAAGGGGTGATGAGGTGGCAAGAAGGGCGTTTTAGTTGGGGTTTTAGGATTCTTATTTCAACTATGATTTCTATTTTCACCAGGCCAACTCTGCTTCCCCTTTTACCAACACGCTCCTTAGCCTTCCCTGAATGCTACTACCGCCCTGACTTTTAGGAAAGCATTTGCATCTGGCTCCTTTCCATGGGGGTCTACTGGGCTCCCCCTACCCTCACTTGAGAACTTCGTCTGAATAAAGGTTCTGACCATTTCTTCCTGTCACCTCCAGGAGGAAACCTCTCCAGAGTCTGACATCCCTGCTCCTCCCAGTTCCAGTGCTCCAGGAAAACCCCAGCTGTCACCAGGTTAGTGGTCCTGGAGCAACATCCCAGGCCTGGGGCACAGGAGTACTCAGGCTGCTTCCTGGCAGAGTTGTTCTCTCAGCCTCCCAGGAGATTCCCGTTTCCTCTCCCCACAGCGTGCCGCTCAGTTTGTGACCACACAGCCCCACAGCTCCCTCGCTCCTGCACCAATCTCTGATACAAAGTGTATTAGGTAGATGCCTTCCCTAGAACACCCTGGGATTCAGGGCTTGGGGGAATGTAGCTGGTGCACTAGGTGCTGGTTTCTGGGGCTGTGTCTCAACCCAAATAGTCACCAAACCCCTCAGTTGTTAAGCACGGAAACCAGGAAGAAAGGTTGAAGTAACTGCATATGTTCACCTATAGGGGAATGGGGTGACTGCTTTCAGATGTCTGAGGAGCTGTATCTGGAAAAGAAACCTGCTCTTCAGAGTCTTGAGGGATAGACAAAGGACTCACGGCAGATGTGTTAGGGAGATTTTCTCTCAATAACAATCTTCCTGATGTGGAGAGGGGGATGGCTTGGGAAGTGTCTTAGTTACCTAGTGCTGCTATAACAGAAATATCACCAGTGGGTGGCTTTAACAAACAGAAATTTATTTTCTCACAGTTTAGGAAGCTAGATGTCCGAAATCAGGGTGCCGGCTCTAGGGAAGTCTTTCCCTCTCTGTCGGCTCTGGGAGAGGGTGCTTGTCTCTTTAGCTTCTATTCCTTGGCTCCTTGATGATCTTCTTGTGGCACGGCATCTATCTTCCCCCATCTCTGCTCGCTTGCTTGTTTAACCTCTTTTATATCTCAAAAGAGATTAAGACACACCCTACACTAATACTGTCTCATTAACATAACAAAGAAAACCCATTCCCAAATAGGATTATAACACAGGTGTAGGGGATAGGATTTACAGCACATATTTGGGGGGAAATAATTCAATCCATAACAGAATGTAACAGTTCTTTGTCACAAGTGCAGTCTAAGCATGCTCTGGATAGCCACTTGGTAGAGATGCACTGAATAGGTGGTTTGTCTAGATTCTAAATCAATGCTCCCCATGCCCACCTGACCGTCAGAGTCATCTGGGTGCTCCCCTCTCATTTTTATTTTGAAAAATGTTGAACCTACAGAAAAGTTGAAAGTATAGCACAATAATCACCAGAATACCTTTTACCTAAATTCATCAATTGCTAACATTTTGTACCTTGTGCTTTTTTCACCCCTTTTACACACACACACACACACACACACACACACAGAGCCTTGGCACAGTGGTTAAGAGCTACAGCTGCTGACCAAAAGGTTGGTAGTTCCAATCCACCAGCCGCTCCTTGGAAACCCTATGGGTAGTTCTGCTCTGTCCTATAGGGTCGCTATTAGTTGGAATCAACTCGATGGCAATGGGTTTTTTTTTTATATATACACATACATATACATTCATCCATATGAGGGAGCCCTGGTGGTGCAGTGGTTAAGTACTCAGCTGCTAACCAAAAGGTTGGCGGTTCAACCTACCAGGCACTCCACAAGAGAAAGATGTGGCAGTCTGCTTCTGTAAACATTACAGCCTTGGAAACCCCATGGGGCAGTTCTACTCTGTCACGCCGGCTCACTATGAGTCAGAATCGACTCAACAGCACACAACTATATATGTATGTATATATATATGTATGTGTATATATATGTATATATATTGCTATTTATTGAAATAGTGTATCTAGACTAGTGTATATATATTTGTATATATATATATACACAAACATATATACATATATACACTAGTCTCTCTCTACACATATAACTTATTTTCAGGTGGCTCAGCAAAGAAAAAATAGTATATATAGTATATAAATACTATATATACAGAATTATATATATACAAATTTTTTTCTTTGCGGAGCCACTTGAAAACAAGCTGCAAATATCATGGTACTTTACCCTGAACACTTCAGCATGTACCTCCTAAGAACAAGGACACACTCCTGCCTAACCACATACAACTGCCATATACCATGTATCTAAGACATTTGGCATTAATATAATATTATGTAATATATATTCCATATTCAAATTTCTACAACCACACCCCAAAACAGCCTTGATAGCTTTTTTTAAAAAATTTTTCTGCCCAGGAGCTAATCAAGGATCACTTATTAATGTAGGAAGGTTTTAAGAATACAGATTCCTAGGCCTTGGATTCTGATTTTTAGGACTCGAATGGGGCTTGGGAATCTGTATTTTTAGAAAAAAAACTTTCCAAGTGATTCTGATGATCAGCTGAGTTTGAAATCAGTGGTCTTTTTTGATCATGCACTCCCTATAGTAAATACCTTTACACATACTTCTGTATAAAATACCTGCATGTTGCTATGTTAATATATTATGTATATTAGAAAACATACACAAAAGGAAAGGATGAAGTAAAAATAAATGGTCTAATATTTCTTCTTGTGGCCCTGTGGCTTATCTTGCACACCCTACTTCTTATTGCTTTGGAGTCCATTGGTTTAACTGACCACCAAGTCCCTCCCAATCATGTGGATTGGTGATGATGCAATGGTCCTTTGATAATGACCTATAAGCTCCAAGAAGCAGAGACTGGATTCCTTCATGTGCTCATGGCGTTGCCCTTCTTGCTTCCCCAGAGTGAGATTCCCCCACAGTTTATTAAGATTAATAACCACCCCAGAGAATAACCATAAGAAACTGTGTCCCCTGCTCTAAGAGATTTCATTCGGTGTATGCTGGGGCTCGCCAAGAGTGTTCATTCACCATCATCTTTTGCTTTACTCCCTACCTTCTCCTTTTAGGTCAGAAACAAAGAGAAGAGCCAAAGGTAACAATTTTTTCCTTGTTCTAAGTAGTATGTGATGGACGAGCTTGGGCTATCCTCTGTGGGGAGGTCTCTCTGGATTACAGAAGAGTCCCTAACGGAGGGTAGAGCCAGTTGCCACCATACACAGAACCCATGGGTTGGGGACCTCAAGAGGTGGATTATCCAATAGGCAAGGTAAGCATGTTGCCTACCTTGCTTACCAGATCATCTATAGTGAATAATTTCACCATATCAAAGATTCTGTTTCTAGGTAAGGCTAGTATCTGTCTCTCTCCCAAAACCACAGCACCTTCCTACAGAATCAAAGCCTTTTTTCAAATTTAGAGTCCCTGACAGGGGCAGATAACCCAGTAAGCAAGGTAGGCATGGGCTTACTTGTGTGCTTACTAATCTGTAGTGACCAATTTCTCATCTTTGATGTGGTGAAACCCATGTGAAATTGGTCACTACAGATTAGTAAGTAAGCACGAGCAAGCCCATGCTTACCTTGCTTATTGAGTAATCTGCCCCTGGGAACCCCTCAACTTCCTCTCTACTCCCGCACTCCCATGCACACATTTCCCACTTGTCAGTAGTTGGTGGGCCAGATCTCTTTCAGTAGGAAATCCTGCCCAAGTAAGCGTTGGACTAGAGGACTTCTGAAGGCCCTACCCTTGACGAGATGGACTGACACAGTGGCTGCAACAGTGGGCTCAAACATAGCAACGATTTTGAGGATGGCACAGGACCGGACAGTGTTTCGTTCTGTTGTACACAGGCTCTCTATGAGTCAGAAGCAACTCTATGGCACCTAACAACAACAACAACAAATATATATATATATAAACAACATATACATGCACACACACACACATATATATACATAAACTAAATGCATTGCAGTTGAGTCAATTCCGACTCAAGGCAACCCTATAGGACAGAGTAGAACTGCCCCATAGGGTTTCCAAGGAGTGGCTGCTGGATTCAAACTGCTGCCCTTTTGGTTAGCAGCCATAGCCCTTAACCACTGCACCACTAGGGCTCTAGATAGATAGATTAGATGGATAAGATAGATAGACAGACAGATAGATGTTGTTGTTAGGTGCCAGGGAATTGATTCTGACTCACAGTGACCGTATGTACAACAGAACAAAACACTACCTAGGCCTGTGCCATCCTCATAATTGTTGCTATGTTTGAGCCCATTGTTGCAGCCCCTGTGTCAGTCCCTCTCATTGAGGGTCTTCCTCTTTTTTGCTGACCCTCTACTTTACCAAACATGATGTCCTTCTCCAGAGACTGATCCCTCCTGATAACATGTCCAAAGTATGTGAGACAAAGTCCCTTCTAAGGAGCACTCTGGCTGCACTTCTTCCAAGAGAGATTTGTTCCTTCTTCTGGCAGTCTACAGTATATTCAATATTCTTGGCCAACACCATAATTCAGAGGCATCAGTTCTTCTTTGGTCTTCCTTATTCATTGTCCAGCTTTAGCATGCATATGAGGCGATTAGAAATATCATGGCTTGGGTCAGGAGCACCTTAGTTCTTAAAGTGACATCTTTACTTTTCAACACTTTAAAGAGGTCTTTTGCAGCAGATTTGCCCAATGCAATACATCATTTGATTTCTTGACTACTGCTTCCATAGGTGTTGTTTGTGGATCCAAGTAAAATGAAATCCTTGACAACTTCAATATTTTCTCTGTTTATCATGATGTTGCTTATTAGTCGACTTGTGAGGATTTTTGTTTACTTTGTGTTGAGGTGTGGAGCCCTCGTGGCACAGTGGTTAAGAGCTCAGCTGCTAACCAGAAGTTCAGCAGTTCAAATCCACCAGGCGCTCCTTGGAAACCCTATAGGCCAGTTCTACTCTGTCCTGTAGGGTCGCTATGAGTCGAAATCAACTTGATGGCAACGGGTTTTGTTTTTGATTTTTATGTTGAGGTGTAACCCATACTGAAGGCTGTAGTCTTTGATCTTCATCAGTAAGTGCTTCAAGTCCTCTTCACTTTCAGCAAGCAA